GTTTGGATTGTTCAACTCTCACAGGCAATTAGTTGAATCATAAGTTGGCTGCCGACCAACTTCATTGAAAGCGACTTATTGTTACCCACACTCGCTACAATTATAACGCGTTTTTTTAGTATCTACGTTCTTGCTTGTATGAATTCGCCTTGGTTGAATGTGTTTGTGATTAGTGAACCGATATCTTAAATATATCGACGCTTTTACTCGTAAGCACTGTTACTCGCTGGTTTCGGCGTATCTCTAATTATTGTCAAAAAGTCGCACTCATAGGAAGTTGTGCTACTACGCAATGTAAATTAAGTTAGTAGAATTATATTGGGATATAAAGTGATATTTTGATCTAATTTGTATAAATTTGTTTTATTGTAGAATAATGAGTGATGGCAATTCCCTAGGAAATTTCGCAAGTGACTAGCAGAAGAAAGTTAAGAAGCGGAAAAGATCATTTGATTCAAAGTGGATTACAATATATCCGTGGTTACAAGAAGTTAATCGCAACAGTGAATTAATTTTTTTGTACTCTGTGTTCAAAGACTTTATCTACTGCAAATAGTGGCGATTACAACGTTAGACGGCACGAGAACTCAGATAAGCACAAATTGCTTTTGAAGCAGAGTCAAGCACAAAAAAAAATACCCAATTTAGCAACAATTACAAAATCTGCTGTTTTCATTTACCATACAGTACAACATTGCCACAGTCATCTTTCGACTGATTGTTCTGCGAATTTGTTTCAGAAACTTTTCTTAGAGTCCGACATTGCGAAAAATTTTTCATGTGGGCGCACAAAAATTTCGAAAGTTATTCGAAATGTTCTTCAGCCAGCAGCACAATAACTCATTATCCGTGGAGTGAAAAATAGTTTAGCTTATTCAATTATGACTGATGCATCCAATAAAGGTAACACAAAAACGTTCCCCATAGTTTTGCGTTATTTCAACAAAACCGAAGGAGTTTCATCGAAAATGTTATGTTTCGCCGCCTTAGAACCTTAAAAATCAAAAGACATCGCTGAGTTTTTAGTTGAAAACTTAGAAAAGCATCGTCTTTTACTTTCAAATGCAACAGCTCTTTTCGCAGATAACCCTTCCGTTAATTTCGGGAATAACCAAAGTGTTTTCACTGAGCTTAGAAAAGTGAAAAAAAAAACATTTTACCTGTAGGTTGTATGTGTCACATTATAAATAACGCTGCTAAAAAAAGCGAGCGATACTTTGATGTTGAATATATAGTCATAAAGTGTTATAACGAGTTTTCATCATCAACAAAATATGTGGTCTTATTGAAGGAATTTATCAGTTTTGCTGGTTTCGAATGGTCAAAAATTCTGCGTCATACTCCCACAAGATGGCTCTCACTAGTACCAGCAGTAGATATGGTTTTAAAATTTTACGAACCATTAAAATGAGATTTTTTGTCCAAAGTTTCATGTCCAAAATATATCGAAAAGTTTTTCACTGAAGAGCTGCGCGAAGCTTACTTATCTTTTGTGGCTCACATTGGAACTGTTTTGGAAAGAAAAATTAAACTACTTGAATCTACTGATTTGGTTGCACCAATATTTTACGGCATTATAACCGATCTATTAAGTTCCTTAAAAAGTATACTTAACAATGAGTTTTATGGAAGTTTAACAATGGCTTTACTGGCTAAGTCAGAAAATTACCAAGCTGTTAAAATGCAGTGTAGCGTATACATTTCTAATATTATAAACTACATTGGAAAGAGAATTGATGTATTTAAACAATTTGAATTTCGTGAAACTTTAATAATAAAATATGAAGGCTGGTCTCCAAATTTTAATGAATTGTTATTTTGTGGGTATTGCTAAAACTGTTTATGGGATGAATGCTGCTTTTAAAAGGACGGTAGCACAATTTAATGCATATGCTTCCTCCTTAGACTTAGATTTCTCATACTCGAAGTCTACTTTTAAGAATGTTCTGGTAAGGCTCTTGTCATAAGGTAGTTGTATGTATGTCTGTAAATAGGGTTGCCAGACGTCCCTCTTTGGGGGGGCAATACCCCATTTTGACCTTCTGTCCCCCTTTGCTACGGAAGTATACGTAGGCCCCCATTTTCTACCGAAATTGTTCACCTTTCGCTTTAAGCGTGTTTGGATTGTTCAACTCTCACAGGCAATTAGTTGAATCATAAGTTGGCTGCCGACCAACTTCATTGAAAGCGACTTATTGTTACCCACACTCGCTACAATTATAACGCGTTTTTTTAGTATCTACGTTCTTGCTTGTATGAATTCGCCTTGGTTGAATGTGTTTGTGATTAGTGAACCGATATCTTAAATATATCGACGCTTTTACTCGTAAGCACTGTTACTCGCTGGTTTCGGCGTATCTCTAATTATTGTCAAAAAGTCGCACTCATAGGAAGTTGTGCTACTACGCAATGTAAATTAAGTTAGTAGAATTATATTGGGATATAAAGTGATATTTTGATCTAATTTGTATAAATTTGTTTTATTGTAGAATAATGAGTGATGGCAATTCCCTAGGAAATTTCGCAAGTGACTAGCAGAAGAAAGTTAAGAAGCGGAAAAGATCATTTGATTCAAAGTGGATTACAATATATCCGTGGTTACAAGAAGTTAATCGCAACAGTGAATTAATTTTTTTGTACTCTGTGTTCAAAGACTTTATCTACTGCAAATAGTGGCGATTACAACGTTAGACGGCACGAGAACTCAGATAAGCACAAATTGCTTTTGAAGCAGAGTCAAGCACAAAAAAAAA